AATCATATGACCAATTAAGGTATGGGCTGCTCAATCATATGACCAATTAAGGTATGGGCTGCTCAATCATATGACCAATAAAGGTATGGGCTGCTCAATCATACGACCAATAAAGGTATGGGCAGCTCAATCATACGACCAATTAAGGTATGGGCTGCTCAATCATATGACCAATAAAGGTATGGGCTGCTCAATCATATGACCAATAAATGTATGGGCTGCTCAATCATATGACCAATAAAGGTATGGGCAGCTCAATCATATGACCAATAAAGGTATGGGCAGCTCAATCATACGACCAATTAAGGTATGGGCTGCTCAATCATATGACCAATAAAGGTATGGGCTGCTCAATCATATGACCAATAAAGGTATGGGAAGCTCAATCATACGACCAATTAAGGTATGGGCTGCTCAATCATATGACCAATAAAGGTATGGGCTGCTCAATCATATGACCAATAAAGGTATGGGCAGCTCAATCATACGACCAATTAAGGTATGGGCTGATCAATCATATGACCAATAAAGGTATGGGCAGCTCAATCATATGACCTATAAAGGTATGGGCAGCTCAATCATACGACCAATTAAGGTATGGGCCGCTCAATCATATGACCAATTAAGGTATGGGCCGCTCAATCATATGACCAATTAAGGTATGGGCCGCTCAATCATATGACCAATTAAGGTATGGGCCGCTCAATCATATGACCAATTAAGGTATGGGCCGCTCAATCATATGACCAATTAAGGTATGGGCCGCTCAATCATATGACCAATTAAGGTATGGGCCGCTCAATCATATGACCAATTAAGGTATGGGCCGCTCAATCATATGACCAATTAAGGTATGGGCCGCTCAATCATATGACCAATTAAGGTATGGGCCGCTCAATCATATGACCAATTAAGGTATGGGCCGCTCAATCATATGACCAATTAAGGTATGGGCCGCTCAATCATATGACCAATTAAGGTATGGGCCGCTCAATCATATGACCAATTAAGGTATGGGCCGCTCAATCATATGACCAATTAAGGTATGGGCTGATCATGAAATCAGTGTTCTCAGTTTAAGCTCATTTGGAGATCTGGAAAGGGGTCAAAACTAAGATGCAAGATTTGACTCGCAGAAGTCACTCATGGGTCATTGGTGGTTTACAGGTGACCTACTGGTCATGAAGGGTTGTATGGGTAAGTCTACAAAGTTTCAACTCAATAGGACATCAGAAAATTGGGTCGAAATTAGGATGCTAAGAGGTTGTACAAGACAAACGGACGGACAATATCGCAGATTAAATAAAAGTGAGTGACAATAGGTTCATTTTATTTAGGAAAACCCAAAATAACTGGACATTTTCATTTTATAGTAGCATAATAGCTTAGTTATTCTACCATTTAGATGTTTCTTATGTACACTAATGATAACGGTTTGAAGAAAAAAATAAAATTCACACAAAAATATATACCAACATTTACTTCCTTATGTTCAGACATGGCTGGCATCATACACTTGCTAATGACCGCAGATTGTATTCACTGCCAGACATGGCTGGCATCATACACTTGCTAATGCCCGCAGATTATATTCACTGCCAGACATGGCTGGCATCATACACTTGCTAATGCCCGAAGATTATATTCACTGCCAGACATGGCTGGCATCATACACTTGCTAATACCCGCAGATTATATTCACTGCCAGACATGGCTGGCATCATACACTTGCTAATGACCGCAGATTATATTCACTGCCAGATACACTTGCTAATTCCCGCAGATTGTATTCACCGCCAGACATGGCTGGCATCATACACTTGCTAATGCCCGCAGATTATATTCACTGCCAGACATGGCTGGCATCATACACTTGCTAATGACCGCAGATTATATTCACTGCCAGACATGGCTGGCATCATACACTTGCTAATGCCCGCCGACATTAATATCTGCTGAAGCGTGACTGAGCAGGACGCTCTTGCACGGCCGCTCACGAAGAACAGCGTCCAAGACCCCGGTCCGACGTATTCGTAACCGTTAAAGTCAAAACCAGGATCAGGGACCCCCCCGTTGATAAGCAACGGACGCGGATTGGCCTGGCTCGTGAAACCCCCCACGTGTCCGGGGGCCACTTGTACAAATTGGCCCGGTTGTGAAACCGACCAGGCCGGGCAGAGCCCGCAGATTGTATTCACTGAAGAAGCTAACGCCATCGAGCCATGCACCTCACAAATATCATAGACACGCGTGATGTATAATAATAAAAGTACGAATACATTCATCATACTCGATGATGTACCAAAGACGTACAGCTCCACCTGACCAGTATCGATACATCGGTGCGCGTCGCCTCCAGTCCAACACACCTCGAAGTACTCAAGACAGAGGAGATGCGTCCACATTCCAATCGAGCATCGCGATTTGATGGATGCTTTGAAATTCGACTGGGCTTTCGAATGATACATTTCCGATAATTAACTTCCTTGTACGGCATTGTGAGACCCGGGGATCATTTTCAATTTCAACACACCGACTGATGGCCGGGTGAAGTGATCTCACAACTCATTTTTATTATTTTGTTTACATTCTCGTTACTTAAAACACTATCTACTCAGACAAGGAATGGCAACCAATCACGTGCATACATCACGTGCATACATCACGTGCATACGCTTAAAATATCCAATTGCAGAAATGAAATAGGAAGGTTCCAAGGAAGCCTCCATTTTTGTTTAATATGTTAAATTTGCAACAACAAAAATAAATACTTAAGAAGATTTAAATGTGATATACAGTTAGGAAACAGTGTCCAGGATTAGGGCCGCCCGTAGCAGGCAAAAATGTGTGCCGCCACTCCTCTCGCTAAACAAAAAAAAACTTCCAAAAGGAAGAAAAACACACAAAACAAGGCTGCCCGAGGCAGACCGCACCTTCCCAATCTAGGCTAGTGCATAGACCATAGGATTCAAGGAGAACAAAACAACAAAGTTTATTAATCTAGTGATCCAGTCAAAAATAAAGAAATATACATGCGTAATTCTTCACACATCACAAGCAAACAAAATTGGTTTAGACGAGGCTGACACGGCTAGGGAGCAATGGCCCATGGGCGGTTTCTGCTACAGCAGACAACAGGTTAATCCAGCAGGCAAGCAGAAGGTCAGGTCGCGCCGACTCTGGGAACGTCAGACAGTAGGCGTAGCGCAATCGTAGGCCAATGTAGGTGCCATGCGCTAAAGGAGCCCCGGGGTGATATCGAGGGTTCGTTGTCAGGTCGCGCCGATTCTGGGAGCCTCAGGCAGAAGTTGCAGCACAATCGCATGCCAATGTACATTCCATACGTCTAAGACGCCTCGGGGTGATTATTGAGGGTTCATTGAACTCACATACACAAAGAAAAAGTCTGGACTTGAGACAACGCAAAGCAAAAGAACTTATTAGGTGCCACATTTCACCCTGCTGCTCTTAGTGTAGGTATGTTTTTTGTTTTTTTAAATAGTAATTCTTCACTCTTGTCAGTCAATTACTCCACCGTCAGAGCCGCACTACGCGAGTGCACACAACTCTCTAAACCCGAGTGCACACAACTCTATAAACCCGGGTGCACGCAGCTCTCTAAACCCGAGTGCACACACCGCTCTAAACACAGTTCTTCAAAGTCTAAGTGCAAGCAAAAAAAATAAAAAAATTCAACCAGTGTTAAAACAAAGTAATGAAGCACTTTCACAGATTCCGACTGCATTGCAATCTTAATATGTTACTAAATATTATTCAGGGGAAAATTATTTGGTTCTGGCTATAATTTATTTGATATACCGGACACATTTTTTTTAGGGGCACAGATTGTTTGGTGGCAGGAATGTAACAAACTAAATAGTTTAAAAGAAACAACACCCACGCCCACCCCCCCCTCCACTCCCCGCACACACGCCATTTTCCACAAGGACAGATTAAAGAAGAAAACAAATCTAGAATTGAGAAATGAAAGTCGATCATCGTAGCATTCTCAGGGAATTAGCAAGAGACTGAAACTTTGAAACTGAATGGAGACGGGCAATGTTCTAAGAGTTACTTTCAGTTGGCACATCAGTGGCTGTGTGAGTGTGCCTTGCTCTGTTGTGTATGAGATTTTTGTTTAAAATCACAATTAACAAGAAAGAAATGTTACATACTTTTTTTTTTTTTTTTTTTTTTTTGTGTATGGCTAAATCTATTTTAAAACCCTGACACACACAAGTCTTTGAAGTAAATATGCAAGACATACATAAATAATGTGAATATGTTTGGTAAGAAGTATCCCCACCCACTCCAAAATAATTTTTTTTTTTTAAATGTACATCGCAAAAGTGTTTATAAACTATTAAAGAAACAAGAAGAAATCTAAAATATTAAATTTTAAAAAAAAATAATTTAAAAAATTTAAAAATTCCAGATACTGGCAATATGAAGAAGCAAAAGTCTTGTAATCGTGCTGCAGCCAATGTTATCAATGTTAAAGATCCAAAGTTGACGTTCAAGTTTATAACATGGGTGGTACTTGCATTTAGCAGGCAAGTAGTTTGGGATCTTGCTCTACAAATGTCTGTGTGGTGTTGTGTTGCCCACATAAAAGGTTAAAGTTCAAGGTACGCACATTTAGTGTGGCAAGTAGTTTGGGATCTTGCTCTACAAATGTCTGTGTGGTGTTGTGTTGCACATATCAAAGGTTAAAGTTCAAGGTACGCACATTTAGTGAGGCAAGTAGTTTGGGATCTTGCTCTACAAATGTCTGTGTGGTGTTGTGTTGCACACATCAAAGGTTAAAGTTCAAGGTACGCACATTTAGTGAGGCAAGTAGTTTGGAATCTTGCTCTACAAATGTTTGTGTTGTGTTGCACATATTAAAGGTCAAATTTCAAAGTACTCGCATTTAAAGAGGCAAGTAGTTTGGAATCTTGGAAAAATTGTTCTCGAAAATTAGTGGAGTTGTGTTGCATATGTTGTTTTAAAAAAAAAGGCTAAGGGTTAAAGTTCAAGGTACTCACATTTAGTAAGGCAACTAGTTTGGAATCTTGGAAGACTTGTTCTAGAAAGTTGGTGTGGTGCTGGCTCTGGGCGCAGTCCGACAGGAGCTGGATCTCTTCAAGGGAGTCAAGCACTTGTGACACGGCTCCTTGTTGGAAGAGAAAATTAGACTTGTCCCCCTTAGTTTGGGTTACAGGCATGCTAGCAGAGGGTGGGTTTGGTTTGGGGGGGTGGGGGTGGTATTCTTGTGCCATAATGTTATTCTCTAAATTACTGAATCAACACACTGTCATGCTCCAATCATGCTACTCAAAATAGTGTGAGATTTTTTGTTGCTTTTTTTTGTGGTAATAATCACATACAAATATGAATGCAAGTTTCACAATACAGATAATTAATGGTATACAATGTGTTCCTATGCTGCACTGAAAAAAGTGATTGCAGAGAAGATTTTGCATGAGTCTATAAATAACCAGATCTACTTCAGGCTCTACTAAGTAAGGACTAATCACTAATGTATGGACTGCTTCCTTCAGCCGTGGAACAAGAGTCATGAGATTTGGTGAGAAAAGTGAAATGGTCAAGGAAAAAAATAAAGGTAATTAAATGGTAGTTATTGTATTATTATAAATATCTAAAATAGTATACTCTTTTTGTATTTGTTACATTTACTAGTAATTCTTGTATTGATAAATTTTGAAGTTTGGTGCAGAAATTTATAGTACGCTGTCACTTATAGGCAAATAAATGTTGAAAAGCCATGGCCAAGAATTTATAAATTTACAAAAAATAAACTTAGGATACTTCATTTAAGTGACAACCAATTTGACATGAATGGTCAATTTCAAAATTAATGATTTAAAATCGAGAGAAAAAAATTGATTTCTTTAATTAATATATTTAAAAAAAAATTTTTTTTTTAAATATTCTATATTGAGTTTGTGATATACTAAACAATATTAGTGTAAGAAATTCTATTTTTACATGATTACTAATGAAGTCTCTTGTGGAAGCATCCTCTACAGATTAGACAGGGATGTGTGTAGAGTGGGGATTGGGAGGTGGTCAGGTGAAATATGACAAGATTCCAGGGAAGTGGTTTCAACAACATCTAATGGTCTAAGAGGTCAAGGAGACAGTGAGGTCTGGGTCTAAAAAAAAATTGTTAGAAATCATTTATTTAAGACACCCTCTGTCTCCCTGGCAAACAATCGGCCAGTTCTTTCCCCTTACCAGCAGATGTTACATCATCATCGTCTGGCGGGGAGGGGTCATTGTAAAAACTGGTCCACTTCGGACTTGCTACAGCCGCCATAATAGCACCCTGTTGGAAAGATGTTACAATAAAAAAACAGTGACTGTGTTTTAAAAAATGTATTATCAGCTAATGATAAAAGCAAACAAGCCTCAAAAGCAAATAGAACAACAATTTAAAAGTGTTCCAGCTAAACAAAAATAATTTTCCACAACAACTTGACCAAAAAAAAAAAGATTTACTGCAGTTCCATACACGTGGCTATTCTAGTAACTGACCAAAGAGGTGACCTCAGCCAAATCCAGGCTTCACAAACTAGTTTAACCCATGCTCTCTTTCTCTTTGGTGGTGTGCACAGCGTTTTATAATGTGACAGGGGGGGGGGGGGGGGGTGGGGGTTGACTTTATAATGATGGAGGGGGACCCTTGCGATCACATCCTCATGATGTTTTTAACATGCCCCCCCCCCCCTTTTCCCCCTTTTCAATACTCAAGAGGCACAGGCCTATATTCATGCACAGAATGTGGCCAATTTATCAATCAGACAAATAACCATGCCAAGCTTAACCTTGACACTTTACTCACTTTAAGCTTTCTCCTGGAATTGAATTTTTTAAGCTCATCAACAGTTTCATGTAAGTGGACTCTGGGCACATCTTTCTTGTTCTGTGGATCAAGTTTAAACATCAGGTCAAACCAATTAATGTTCCTAATTTTTTTAATGTAAATATCCAAGACAAAAATCTATAATGCAAAGCACTCTCAGTATTAGAGAATTAAAACCTATGGCTGCTGTTGAATTAATCTATCTTTCAAGACCTTTCACATTTTTCATAAATCAACTACAATTTAATATTTTGTCTGACCTTCTGATAAAGACCATGCCGAACATGTTGTTTATGATATTAAAAGCAATTTTATGTTAGTTGGTTGTAACGTTTGTTATCAAATTAGCCAAAGGATTATGTTGTATTCTATCAAGATCAACATATTTCTTTTGTCAAAGATTGCTTTGTTCACAGTAAAAACATTAATACATTATTTCACATAAGTAATTGTTCTAGCAGTTGTTCCCAAATAGAATTATCCTTGAATTTATGATTTGACAGATAAAAGAATCCCTTTATCAAAAATATGTCATTTCTGATCTGTTATGATCCAAAAAACATTATCCATGAATTTAATTTTTTTTTTCTCTTTCTTAATTTAACAAATACATTTATTTATGGATGTTACATTTTTGCGGTCATCCACTTACCTTTATCCATGTATGCTCTAGGGCTTGTTCTACTGTTATTCTTTTCTCTGGATCTTTTTCTAGGAGCCTAAAAAGTAAATCTTTCCCCTGTGATGAAATCTGGTCCCACTGTTTAGGCTTCATCTGAAACAAGAAAGAACCAAACATTGCACCATACACAAACAGCTAAACCAATCAAACATACACAAACACCTAAACCAATCAAACATTCACAAACAGCTAAACCAATCAAACCTGTGCATAAATTATTCAATGTGCATCCATTATTAAAACACACACTGTAAATATGTTATTGAAATCCAGGCAGAGGCGTAGCCAGGTGGGGCAGGGGGGGACAGATGTCCCCGGGCGCCAGCTAGTTAGGGGCGCCAAAATGTGCTTTGATGTTATATTATTGGTAAAAAAAATGGGTTTGAGAGTTGAAAAAAAAAAAAGGGTGCGCTTTAAAATCGATCTTGTCCCCGGGCACGAATCTTGTCCCCGGGCGCCAAACACCCTCGCTACGCCTCTGAATCCATGTTTGAATTTACCAGATTTTTAACATGAACACATTCTTCAAGCACAGAAAGACAAACACACACTAAAGAAAAACAAAAAAAAACCCAGCTGTCCACTAATAACTTGTTTTGAAAACAAAAAGTAACCAAAATCAATGTCAATTTTTCAACATTTTTGTTTTATGTTTTAAATTATGTGACATAAACTTTAGATAAACAATTAGTTAAAAAATAGTTCAGATTAAACATGGAAAGAAACCGTTTTTGAAATAAAGGGAGGATACTTCAATATTTGTATTTGGTTTCTGTTTTATTTATTGCCTCCCTTGCAACCAGGAAGAAAAAATATAAAAAAACTAAAAGACAAATATGTTTCTTCTGATAGTTAGATACACTTCTTTTCTCAGTGATTTACATTTCCAGCCATAAAATGAAATGCGACACTTTCGATAACCTGTGATATTATACATTGTTTTATTGGGACTAATAAACCGGACTTGGTTACGCCGTGCTTATGAAAGACTACTCCGTTCAATGGCGCTCTACACATACACGAGCACACAAACAAGAAATAATAAATAATAACTATTTATATAAAATCATGTATTTATACATGCACTCAATATTTATAAACTCACAGGATAGCTGCCCTTGACAATTATCTCATACAATCTCTCTTTGGTGCCACAGAAAGGGGGGTAGCCCCCCAGCAGTATAAACAACAGGACCCCGCAGCCCCACATGTCGACGGGCTTCCCGTACGGTCTCCTCTCTATCACTTCCGGTGCCATGTACTGGGGGGTGCCCACTCGACCTGGAAATAACGAGCAGAACGGAGAAATTCAGGAAATATTTCATTGAGTCAAACAACACTGTACCAACTTCCCGTAAGCTATTGTACATGAGAGGATGCTTGAGGACGTGGATATGTAGGATAGGGGGTCAAATGATCCATGGCCAGGCCACTCTTTTACATCAAACATACACTTTCCCCACAATGGATGAGCGAGGCTACTAGCTGGTACATAGCCATCTGATTGATTGCACGCTGCCCCCAACCCTTCCCCTTAAAAAAAACCAGTCACCATCAACCCGTACTGTATAATTGTGACTAAACTGACATCAATTTGCTTGATCTCTCGATAAGTCATTTGCGGACCTATTTCTAAGTCATTGACCGACCTACTCTAAAGACATTTGTGGAACTCCTTCTGAGTGAAAGTCATTTGCGGACCTACTTCTACGTCTAATTAATTTGCGGACCTACGTCTAAGTCATTTGCTGACCTACTTTTAAGTCATTTATTTTCAGACCCACTTCTAAGTCTAAGTCATTTGCGGACCTACTTCTAAGTCTAAGTTATTTGTGAAACTACTTTTAAGTCATTTGCGGACCTACTTCTAAGTCTAAGTCATTTGTAGACCTATCTATAAGTCATTTGCGGACCTACTTCTAAGTCATTAGCGGACCTATTTATAAGTCATTTTCGGACCTACTTCTAAGTCTAAATCATTAGCAGACCTACTTATAAATTATTCACAGACCTACTTCTAAGTCTAAGTCATTAGCGGATCTACTAAAAAGTCTTTGCGGACCTACTTATAAGTTATTTGCGGACCTAGTTCTAAGTCTAAGTTATTTGTGGACCAACTTCTAAGTCTAAGTTATTTGGAAAACTAATTCTAAGTCATTTGCGGACCTACTTCTAAGTCTAAGTTATTTGTGGACCTACTTCTTAGTATAAGTCATTTGCGGACCTACTCCTTAGTGTATGTCATTTGCGTACCTACTTCTAAGTCAAACTCATTTGCGGACCTACCTCTATGTCTAAGTCATTTGCGGACCTACCTCTGTGTCTAAGTCATTTGCGGACCTACCTCTGTGTCTAAGTCATTTGCGGACCTACCTCTATGTCTAAGTAAGTTAGAGAGGACATCATTACCATCGAACCCCAACTTGTTCCCATTACAGTTAAGCCAAGAAACTAAAGAGGTTCACCTGACGTGATAAGCTGACCGTCTGGCAGCTGTGTGGCCACACCGAAACCCCCCAGCTTGACAGGGGCGGAGTTCTCGGTGGACGCCAGCAGTATACAGTGGGGCTTGAGGTCTCTGTGGATGATGTTGTTGGTGTGGCAGTACCGCAGGGCCTCCAGGACTTGTCTCATGTAGTGGCTGTAAGTAAGAGTTATGCATTCGATTATGTAATGCTCCTGTGACTGAGCTCTTTGTTTTACAAATAAAATTAGAAATGATATCTTTAACTGCAACCAGAAAGGGAAATGTCAGTTTCATATTTGAGAGAATCTCTCTTTAAAAAAAAATAATATTAAACTCTTTTTTTTTTTTTAAATTTTAACAGTAATACAAATTCATATTTTTTCCACCACGATCCACCGAAGTAAATTTTAAAAAAAAAATTAATAAATACTCTGAAAATTGAGAAGCTGGTAAAGTACCCAGACTATGTTCCAATATTAACTGCAACCAGAAAGGGAAATGTCAGTTTCATATTTGAGAGAATCTCTTTTTAAAAAAAAATAATATTAAACTCTTTTTTTTTTTTTTAAATTTTAACAGTAATACAAATTCATATTTTTTCCACCACGATCCACCGAAGTAAATTTTAAAAAAAAAATTAATGAATACTCTGAAAATTGGGAAGCTGGTAAAGTACCCAGACTATGTTCCAATGAGACCAGGGCACTTGTACGCCAATGAAAAAGTGCTTGTGCAAAAAATAGCTAATTTCGTAGCGACACATTTAAGCGTAATGTGTTTGGCTAATGACGCAGATGAAGTGGTAAACGAACCTCCTGACTTTGATGAGTCAGGCCGAATCAGTTGGATTTAATCGGAAAGCTTGGGTTTATTAAACATTTTCAAACACAGACTAGCGCGCGATGCTGAAAATACATTCCCCTCACCCCTGGGATAACATCGCTATTTACCATCTGTGAATAAATAAAGAGCCTGATCTGTCTGATGACGCAATTATTTGAAGGACTCTACTCTGGGGTCAGTCATTGATTTAAATTTTTTTTTTTTTTTGGAGGCGGAGCGTTTTCGTGTGTGCTGACTTGAAGATTTGTAGCCAACACGACCAAGTCATTGGTAGAAACGAAGAACAAATACGTGCGAGACTGTGTGTGGGGGCTGGGGGTGGGGCTACAAAGTCATGACACCAATTGTTAACGCTGACACATATAAACACATTTCTTCCATTATATAAATATATGCATATATTATTTCAGATTTTTTAGTTAGACCTAAACTACCTAAGCCCAATAACATAAACCTAATGGAATACTGCCAAAACCCAGACAGAGTTAGTCATTATTTTTTTTTCCTCGGCATAAACAATCTAAAAATTGACGATTCAAAGTATTCTTAGGACCAAACATGTCCAGCGAACACACGGCCAAACATCAGACATTGAGAAGATTTTAAAATGAAAAAAATATAAATTTTTTAAGGCGGTCCACGTAAAAAAAGACCGGAACTACCGAGCATAATCGAATATTCAATGAAGACCCAGTATTCATTTAGAGCCACGGTAATTGCCCGCGACTGTCTCGCGGGATCCGCGAGATCCGATTACCTGACGCGACTTCCAATAACGAGTCTGGCATCGAGATTAAACCATCACGATTGCGCCAGTACATTCAGAGTTACGTCCCATTTTGAGGCAAAGAGGAAATAACAGATGTATAACTTTATGTAATCAAATCGATCGGACGCAACCGGTTTGAAAGGTACAGGACGGGAAGCGATTACTGATTTGGGGGAGAGGGGTGGGGGGGGGGGGGGGACACGGGGACGACACACTTTTACAAAAAAACACGCGGAGGATTTTTTCTTGTTTTTTTTTTTTTTTTAAAACAAATTCCAAAATAAGGTTGCTGCGTCATCCAAGCTTCTCCATTTCAGGAGCTTCCATCGATATGTGAGTTCATTGTTACTGTTTTAAAGCAGAGGTTCCCAAACTTTTTCGAGTCCCGACGCCTTTGCTGTATCCAGATTTTCCCAAGCTGACCTATGACAAATTCTGACAAGCGCATCGCGAAATTATTATTTAAAAGAAAAAAATAATAATTTATTCTTTCACTTCACGGCGTGGCATGAAAGGAAGCCGGGGGGTCACCAGGACGCCGTGACACATAGTTTGATGACCTCTGGTTCAGGGCTACTGTTATGTTGTTCGAGTTGACAGGGGATAAGAGAGTAATGCTAAAATAGAGATTGTAAAGAGAAGGGGAATAAAATGGGGGGGGGGGGAGACAAAGATGAAGCCTTTTGGGTTTCAGAAATAGAGCCTGGCCCCGCCACGCTGAGCTAAAAGAACAGATAGACTCACCTGGACACTGCCGCGCTGTGCTAAAAGGACTGATAGTCTTACCTGGCCATGGGCATCGCTGTGCTAAAAGGACTGATTGACTCACCTGGCCACTGCATCGCTGTGCTAAAGGACTGATAGTCTTACCTGGCCACTGCATCGCTGTGCTAAAAGGACTGATTGACTCACCTGGCCACTGCCGCGCTGTGCTAAAAGGACTGATTGACTCACCTGGCCACTGCCGCGCTGTGCTAAAAGGACTGATAGACTCACCTGGCCACTGCCACGCTGTGCTAAAAGGACTGATTGACTCACCTGGCCACTGCCTCGCTGTACACGAATCCTGATGACGCCCTCTTCACAATCTCAAAACACAGGTCTGCACCATCCATGCTGGGGAAGAGAAGGTTGCGGTTGTTAGTCGCTCAGATAATAATGGTTCCGTCACTGAGGTCGACAATGTTAGTATCACTGATGACAATGCTAGTATCACTGATGACAATGCTAGTATCACTGAGGTCGACAATGCTAGTATCACTGATGACAATGCTAGTATCACTGATGACAATGCTAGTATCACTGATGACAATGCTAGTATCACTGATGTCGACAATGCTAGTATCACTGAGGTCGACAATGCTAGTATCACTGAGGTCGACAATGCTAGTATCACTGAGGTCGACAATGCTAGTATCACTGAGGTCGACAATGCTAGTATCACTGAGGTCGACAATGCTAGTATCACTGGGGTCGACAATGCTAGTATCACTGAGGTCGACAATGCTAGTATCACTGATGACAATGCTAGTATATCTGATGACAATGACAGTATCACTGAGGTCGACAATGCTAGTATCACTGAGGTCGACAATGACAGTGTTGGTGTCGTTAGTTAGACGAGCAATGTTTTAAGGTATTATTGAGGCAATAGTGTCAACATTTGATAGAAAATGATGAAGATGTAAAAGCGACGTTTAAATTAAGACATATTTATAAAAGCGACATCTGATGAAAAGAAGCAAATATCTAAAGAAGCATCTGTCAAAAGAAGCAAATGTCGAAAGAAGCATATGTCAAAAGAAGAAAATGTCAAAAGAAGCCAATGTCTTTAATTGACCTGGTGGTTTCAAATGCAGAATCACTTTAACAAAATAAAGTATAATTAACCAATTCACTGGTCATGGGAACATTGGGGCAGCTGGCGGAGCAAAGATGCTATGTGGAGCTGGGGGAATGACTGAAGCAAAGATGCTATGTGGAGCTGGGGGAATGACTGAAGCAAAGATGCTATGTGGAGCTGGGGGAAGGACTGAAGCAAAGATGCTATGTGGAGCTGGGGGAATGACTGAAGCAAAGATGCTATGTGGATCTGGGGGAATGACTGAAGCAAAGATGCTATGTGGAGCTGGGGGAATGACAGAAGCAAAGATGCTATGTGGCGCTGGGGGAATGACTGAAGCAAAGATGCTATGTGGAGCTGGGGGAATGACTGAAGCAAAGATGCTATGTGGAGCTGGGGGAATGACTGAAGCAAAGATGCTATGTGGAGCTGGGGGAATGACTGAAGCAAAGAGGCCTGTAGAGCCAGGGGTCTGAGTGAAGCAATAAGGTCTTTTTGGTACAAGGGGGTCTGAGCTGTGTAATAGGGTCTGAGTGGTACAAGGGGGTCTCAGTGGTGCAATAGGGTATGTGTGGAGCAAAGGGGGTTCTGAGTGCAGCAATAGGGTCTGTGTGAAACAGGGGGTCTGAGTGTGTAGCAATAGTGCCTTTGTGAAAGAAGAGGATCTGAGTGGAGCAATAGGGTCTGTGAGAAACAAAGGAGTTTGAGTGGACCAATACAATTTGTGTGGAGCAAGAAGGTCTGAGTGGAGCAATAGGGTCTGTGTGAAACAAGATGATCTGAGTGTAGCAATAGGGTCTGTGTGAAACAGGGGGTCTGACTGGAGTAAAAGGAACTGTTTGAAACAAAGGGGTCTGAGTGTCATTTGTGTAGAACAATAAGGTCTGAGGGCAGCAATAGGGTATGTGTGGAACAAGGGTTTGGATGAATCAGCGTTGAGTACTGTCGTCTCAGTTTTAGACTAATATTATCGCCACATAGGCGGCATGGTATTTTTCCAATGTGTTGAATGTAAAAAAAAAAAAAAAAATCAGAATGTACATGTTTACACAATTGTGTGAAAACAAAGCATACGAAAGGGTTTATAATTTGGATAACTGTTCACCGTGTGCACATGGGATAAGTTTAGGATTGAATCGCTGTTTTAATTATTTAAAAAAAAAAAAACTATTATTATTTTTATTTTTTATAAGGGGCTAATGAAATTCCAACCGTAGGGGCTCCTCATCTGGGAGATCTATTAGTGAGGGTACGCGAGGACGTATCGCATTCGCTTATGTAATGGATCTAGCACGATTCGCCACGTCGTTGTGCCACCGGTCCACTTCACCAAATAACCGTCTGGGAAACGACCGGCAGCGAATAGGCCCGGTTGCGAAACGACCGGCAGCGAATAAGCCCGGCAGCGAAGCGGCCGATTGCGAAGAGGCCCTACGGCAAGACGGCCGGCGGCGAAAAGGCCCTACGGCGAGACGGCCGGCAGCGAAAAAGCATGGCAGCGAAAAGGCCGATGGCGAAGAGGCCCGACGGCGAAACGGCTTGCGGTGAAAAGACCCGACGGCGAATTGGCCTGTCGGGGGCTAATCCCCTGTGTACTCTGCCCTCCATGAGATTAGAAAAAAATGTTTCAATTAAATTAGCCTATATTTTCTTTCTGCCCAGTCTTGTGTCTATTTCTATGGAAATTAGGGTAATTGCTAAAGCATGCAATGGTTCTCTCGGCCATTTTCTGTGCCCACATTGCAACTAAAGGTCACCTCCAGCTTATTTGTAGCTGCGTCTCCGAAGCACGCATGCCAGTGATCAATCAATGTATATGATTCATTGTCTTTGGCGCCTTTCAAATAACACACTGAAAACTACGACCAAAAAATAAGTCTTAAAGAAGGATGACGTGTTTCTTTAAGATATTCTGATGAATGAATCTCACATCAAACTGGTTAAAAGCCCCCCATCAAACGGGCTAACCGTCCCAAATCAAACAGGCTAAAAGCCCCACATCAAACGGGCTAACCGTCCCAAATCTAACAGGCTAAAAGCCCCACATCAAACGGGCTAACCGTCCCAAATCAAACAGGCTAAAAGCCCCACATCAAACGGGCTAACCGTCCCAAATCAAACAGGCTAAAAGCCCCACATCAAACGGGCTAAAAGCCCCACATCAAACGGGCTAAAAGCCCCACATCAAACAGGCTGAAAAAGCCCCACATCAAACAGGCTAAAAGCCTTACATCAAACAAGCTAAAAAAAAAACCCCACATCAAACAGACTAAAAACCCCACATCAAACGGAATAAAAGACACACATCAAACAAACAAAAAAAAACAAAAAGCACCACATCAAACAGGATGAAAACGCCCCACATCAAACAGGCTAAAAGCCTTACATCAAACAAGCTAAAAAAAAAGCCCCACATCAAACAGGCTAAAAGCCCCACATCAAACGGGCTAAAAGCCCCACATCAAACAGGCTAAAAAAAGCCCCACATCAAACGGGCTAAAAGCTGCACGTCTTTACCAAATACGTTTACAAAATGTTGACACGAAAGAACAGAAAGTTAAGTGTCGTAGTGTGTTGAAGCTTTCTACTTTAGGTGGGTCCATCAAATATGCCAGAAAAAATAATGAGCTACAGAAAAACAAATACATTAAGATTGGCATATTCCCCCCACCCATCTCAAAATTGTGACTTCCTAGGATTTCTTAAGATAATCTATTTTTAATCTATTAAAAACGTCTATTTTCTGCTCATCTAGACAATGGACATCGCCTTAAATATATCAACCTTAGGAGTCATTCGCATATTACGTCACGCTTAAGGGGGAGTGGGTCGAGAATGTGTGACAATTTGTGAAAGGGGGAGGGGGTGGTACAAATTTATGACATCACCCACACACACACACTCACATACAAATTAATTAAATTTTCTTATTTTGAAAAATCTTTATTCATTAATACATTTTTAGGTGTGACGTGACAATTTAAAAACAAAAGGGGTTTGAGGGGGGGGGGGGGTTGAAAAGGTCCTTTTTTTTTGCGTGACGTAATTTGTGAACGAGCCCTCAGCGGGTTTCACCTGCTTCCCCGCCCACTTTTTATTGACGTTTGGCTGGTGTTATCTCCTCACGCACATTAGACAATCATACAAACGTATGCTGGATGAAAGAAAACAGCCGTCAATCCTAACGACATAGATGTGACATTGGCTTAATGAACCACAGCAATATACATTTATTTAGGAGCTAAGCAAGGCTATGTGTAGCCACATGTTTTGTAGGCGTGGCTGAATATGCACAAAGATGTCGACAGTGGCAACTAAGTCGCCGTTAAATTATCTACTAAGTGATTCAGTCTTATTTATTCAGACACTTGCACTCTCTCCCCGAGCCCCCCCCCCCCCACACACACAAACACACCATTTTGTCCCCAAAAATCTATTCTCCTTAGTTCCCCACTTAGCCTCGTTCGCCGTTGGATCCGAAAATAGTTTCTCTGAGAAGAAAGAGAAGCTAATAATTTTCTCTCTTCTCCCTCCAGGCGCAAGGCTGTGATCAATAAAGGCGACATCACAGCTGGGGGGGGGTGATAGACAACACACCTACGGAATACCGCAACACATCTACGGCACGTTGTATACATATCTAACGTTCATCGTACGCATCTATGGATCCATGCTACACATCTATCGCACGTGGTAAACACAGCTATGGCACAATGCTACATTTCTACGGGACAATGCTACACATGTACGGCACACCGTAACACATCTACGGGACAATGCAACACATCTACGGCACGTCGTAACACATCTAAGGGACATCGCGACGCATCTATGGGAAATCCTACACATCTACCGCACGTTGTAAACACAGCTACGGGACAATGCTACACATGTACGGCACGTCGTAACACATCTACGGGAAATCGTAACACATCTAGGAGACATAGCAACACATCTACGTCAAGTCGTAAACACATCTACCATCCAATGCTACACATCTATGGGACAATGCTACACATCTATGGGACAATGCTACACATCTACGGCACCCCGAAACACATCTACGGGACATCGTAACACATCTACGGCACATCGTAACACACCTACGGGGCATCGTAACGCATCTACGGAACATCGTAATACATGCGTGGTGAATCACAACACATCCGTGCGACATCGAATCACAAAGTCTGGGACATTGTTTTCGTGTAGGGTGTTGTGACAGATCCTGAAAGGGTGGGATATCCTAATAATGAAAAGGGATAAGATCTAGAACGCATCTCCATGCATCAATAACTTTTTTGCCGCCTAGCATCCACTCGCAATTTATTTATTTTTTTTAAGTCTCATTTCCCGTACACCCCTGGTATTAATTAGTTGCCATGTTAGTTAAATGCGTACATTTAAATACAGTTATCACCCATGCTTAATTTGTTTATTTTATGATACTCAAACTGTAGATGGCAGAGGTGAGTTATCATAAATTAGTTTGGGGGGGGGGGGGGATTGTTTTTGTTGTCTTTATTTTCCTGTTTTTATTTGTTGTCTCTACTTTCCTGTTATTAAATCCCTTATATTATCTTCGCTTTTGTTCGTGGGTGGCAATATCTTCGGACGGCTAATTGACCCACTTCCCGTCAACCTATCGAGCTGAAACTTGGCACAAAGACTCGATGCTGATGTCAACACATACTGTCAAATTTTCAGCCCCAACCCCCAAAAAATCCGTTTTACCTGTTTTTTCAAGGAGAAGATGAAGGAACTTTGATGACCATGGGGAGCACTAAGTGGGATTCTTATAAAGAGCGTTCCTTGAATCCATGTTTTGTCAAATTTTAAGCCCCAACCCCAAATTGATCGATATTAACTTTTATAAACGATTTGTACAAACAACTTTGTTATAAGGGGTTGTTTAATTGTTTTTTTAAATATTTATTCAAAATCAAGCAGACGGGGCGCATTTATATAACCTGTTAGCTAATGAAGAGCTGAATCGCCATCACTGCTATTTCAGGTTGCTGTCGTACAGGTCTGGGTTTTCTCCATACCCACCCATCCCCAGCCACGGTAGCAACTCCTCTAGTTGAATAATGAAATACTTTTAACATTCAAACATAGCATTTTTGCTTTTCTATACAGTTAATACACGAATAAGTAAGTCACTATTTTTCGATTCAAACACTCATTTATACAATTTGCTAGGAAGTTTTTTTTTAATTGGTGGATTGCATAGTGTCCCTCGCATCAGCTGTCAGACGGATGGAGCAAAGCGTTACAACGTTCGGGACACTCTAACACACATAGAGGACGTAGCTATACAACTCTTTGTGGACCTTCTTAGCAGCCTAAAACCCAGCACATCACCGATATCATTAATAATGCAGTATGGAACACGCTGTGCTATGGATGCAGGCACAGCATGCATTGGTCCCTGATGCTAACGATATATTTGCACGGGGCATCCAGCAACGGGAGGTTATAACACCGGGCATGGTGGACAACGCTGAGCATGGCGGGCAATGCCGGCATGTGAGACATCATTCAGTAACTGTATCATAGGTAACTAATAAAGTGACAGTTTCCCTCACACGGTCCTGTTATGGCCTCTGCAAACAGGTTACAGGTTCTCAGATTGTTCTGTCTACGTGACTCTGATGATCTTAGGACTGGGACTGTACAATTCCATGGCGATGGTTTGCAGAGAATGAACCTGGGAAAAAACGTTCGCAAACGACAATACACTTTCCAAACTACAATACCCTTAACACACAAGACAATGCCCCTCACACATAATACTCCTAACACACGTAAATGCCCTTTACACATAACACCCTTAATACACGACGATGCCCTTTACACTTAACACCCTTAATACACGACAATGCCCCTTAAACACAAAAATGTCCTTCACACAAGACAATATCCTTCAAACAATATAATACCATGCACACACGTGTGACAATGCCCTTTAACAAGACAATGCCCTTCATAAACGACAATACCCTTATACACAAACATATATACAAACATAATAAAGATCAGAATTAGACTAGTCGGTGAGATTCGACTGAATCCATCGCGGAGAGTCACATCACAGATATCAGAATGGGGAAATCGCGCGGTCCGCATTAACACTAAACTTTGCTTTCAAGTAGCGGGCCGCAAAATATCGTCTTTCGGGCCGCAAATGGCTCACGGGTTTGAGACCCCTGATCTATAATACATCGCTAGCGTCTGTAATATATCACGAGGAATCTACAGCAAACAATTGCAAAATGACAAACCTTAGGTCTTACGAGAACGCATTGTATACACTTCAAGAATGAAACCGTAAACCAAGGACTCAACATCCAAAATACATCCAAAGGAAATGCATGGTCGTCAAATAACCTCAGCCATCCAACTACGCTGATGTGTATTTGCGTTATTCTCCGAGGTACAGTAACGTCAACACAACACTGCTAAACACAACAACGCTTTACATAACACCGCTAAACGCAACACGGTCAAACACAGTTTCGAGTATCGCCCCCAAGGTACAAGTCAGAGTCAGACCGTGATGGCGAGTGTCCCGGACTAGAGAATAGACCGGCCTTTTATCTATACCCAACCGCAATGAAACTGGCACGGTCTCCCTTGCAACACACACGTGGGCTGCTGTCTCCCGTGGGAGACTTTTAATTGGCAGGCATCCTTTCCTTTCTCTTGCACGACAGGCTAGCGGTGGTGTACCCCCGTACAGTTCATCTACAGTCAAAGTTGCAGATTTGATTTGTGTACTCTCAAACACCAGGCACAATGACCAGCCTTCAGCGTTGGAGACCACAAGGCAATACGCTCTTTGAGTTTTTAAATATTTTTTTTTCTGTTCAAACCTTTTTTAGATACCTTACAGACTGTGCTACGAAACCAAATGATAGTTCCGAAGTTTTCCCAACACAATCTGAAGGAAGCGGGTTCACTTCTCTGTCTCGCGTGCATATGATATAATTATATCTAAGTGGGAACCAAAGCAGAGCTCGAGATGAAAACTTTGTGAGATGGAGTTGATCGTCGTGAGCTAAGGGTGAAGATATCACCAACGCCACAAATTCAGAAATGTTTGCGCTTTTAGCCTTGATGAGATGACATGGCACCCAAACACTGCATCCGTGGGCCAGGACAGCCATGCCTTTGGCACCATCGTTTCAAGATAGTTTAAAGTCTAAAGTAAATACCCATATTTTGCAAGAAAAAAATAATAATTTTGACGCCAGCTTAATAAAACACCTTAGGCGGATGACCCCTTTCCCCATCCCTTCGTGCGCCTCTACAGCACCCCCCCCCCCCCCCCACCGTTTCGTCTAATTTTCTAGGATGCGCCCCCTCATGGTGTTAATAATTCGAGACATATTGATATCATATATCCAGGTGAGCTGCCTTTCAAGTTCCAGCCATGCGGGGCATCATTAACACATACACAATCGATACGGGGCCATTAGTCTAATTAACGGTGCACCGCAGCGGGAAATGATCGCCATAACTAAACACGGCGCCCGGCTCGTGCACACCACGCGCGGTATTTGAGCTGCTGCTGATTGGAGTAACGGCCGGCGGGATCATGTCGTGGTCACGTCAACGACGTGTTACTGGGATCAATAGTGGGGTCAATATTGGCCTAAGAGATGATCGGAAAACAACCCTAACATTATATGAACTGGGGGATTTAAAAAAAAAAAATATTAATTTAATATAACAGAATGGTGATGGTTTGCAAAAACCAAAGGCCAAAGATTGAATGTTCATAAACGCTTAGTTTCTTTACCGTGTCTATTGTCTTTGCCCAAGTGTCGTGAACAGCCTGGTGAGATTATGCTATCATGAAATAAAGGTGTGAGATGTATAGCGATTTTTTTTTTAATATATATAATGATACGACAGTCATGTTAGGAAAATTCAGTTGAAATCGATTATAGTAACACTTATTTTTAACATATTTGACTAGAAGGTTTTATATATGTTATATACTTCAAACGAAACTTTAAAATGAACAGACAATCATTATATATTGCTTTGTGTCTGATAACGTTCCAATTTTGAATTGTATATTGGCAATGTATTATAACTATTGATTGGGGAGTGGGGCTCAAGTCATTATATCTTTTGAGGCTGACTGGCTCTTTAATGGCACACGTCTACACACTGTAGCTGACCATTTATAGACTTCCCCTTTGATGGCACACGTCTACACACTGTAGCTGACCATTCATAAATTTCACCTTTGATGGTACAGGTCTACACACTGTAGCTGACCTCCCACTGACAGCCCCTTTGATGGCACACGTCTACACACTGTAGCTGATCACCCAAAGACTTCCTCTTTGATGGCACACGTCTACACACTGTAGCTGATCACCCAAAGACTTCCTCTTTGATGGCACACGTCTACACACTGTAGCTGATCACCCAAAGACTTCCTTTTTGATGGCACACGTCTACACACTGTAGCTGATCACCCAAAGACTTCCTCTTTGATGGCACACGTCTACACACTGTAGCTGACCACCCACAGACAGCCCCTTTGATGGCACACGTCTACACACTGTAGCTGACCACCCACAGACTGCCCTTTTTGACGGCACACGTCTACACACTGTGTGCTCTAGTCAGATTGACGTCCAATCGATAGGGCTCACCCACTGGCCCTATAAACACGACCTATACCCTCACAGAGTGGTCTATAGATTCATCGACTCGTAAAGATTAATCCATCCTCTTTGCACCGCGTCATTTCAAAAACAACGTGGACAAAATGAACACAGGCTCATTCTGCTGTAGTTATTTGCTTCACTTAGTTATTTATGGGATGTTACGTACCATTATATGGTTTTGAGGATTTAATCTGATTGAAGATTTGGCTCCTAGAATTAACAATACGTGACGAAAATGCGTCACCTGATGGCATTCTTTCCAATAAACAAGAGAAAGTCGAACGTAAACAACGTGTTTCCTAATTAAGGGAGAGTGAGTAATGGATCACACAGCACATTTAAATTTATTCGGTAACAACAATATCAAGGTCATACGGGAGGGGGGGGGGGACGACAAATGGTGGTGGCTAAAAATATATTTACCTTAAAGTGTAAAGATAGGCCAAGACAAAGTCTATATTACAACACGGGGCTTTGTTAAAATATTAGCTACGAATCCCTAGCCCCCCCCCCTCCCCACCCCCGCACCTGTTTTCCTTTGTTTTTGCTGGGGATTCAACGATACTGTGATTTTAATTATTCACCCAACTGGCTATCAAGGAACAAGCTATAAGGGAACAAAATAACACCCAAACGTAAATAAATTAAGTACTCTTTATTGTTTGTAAATATTTTTTTTTTTTAATTGACATCAGTCGAAAGAGAAATAATTGTTACTTCTGGGCCTTTATTAAATTATATTAAAGCAGTGGTTCTCAACTTACCTAATGCCAGGACCTCTTAATAAAGTTCCTAAAAATTTAGTGACCCCCCAACTATAAAATTATTGTCGTTGCTACTTCATGAATATGTGTTTTCCGATGGTCTTAGGCGACCCTATGTAAGGTTCGTTCGACCTCTCACACAAAAAAGAAAAAAAACAACATAAAATTAGTTTTACAATCAATATGTATAACAATCAACGGCATGACGATCTTCCAATTGTATATTTTGATTAGTGATTCACCCAAAAGCAAGACAAAATGGCAGTGTCAAGATTTTTAATTTTTGCTCATGTTTTTATTTATATTAGTATTATTAGGATAATAATTGCAAGACTACGCATCCCGGTGTGATATAGCCGGCATGATACAGCCGACGTGATACAGCCGACGTGATACAGCCGGCATGATACAGCCGACGTGATACAAACGGCATGTTACAGCCGACGTGATACAGCCGGCATGAAACAGCCGGCGTGATACAGCCGGCGTGATACAGCCGACGTGATACAGCCGGCATGAAACAGCCGGCGTGATACAGCCGGCGTGATACAGCCGACGTGATACAAACGGCATGTTACAGCCGGCGTGATACAGCCGGCATGAAACAGCCGGCGTGATACAGCCGGCGTGATACAGCCGACGTGATACAGCCGACGTGATACAGCCGACGTGATACAGCCGGCTTGATTCAACTGGCGCATCCACCACAGACTGGTGAAACTAAAATCAAATATTGACGAAATGTTATATTTTAAGTCGCGTTTTCGCCATGATCCAAGGTCAAACAAAATTATGTAATTCAACAGGTAAATATTGCTCTTGACCACAACGAAAGAGAGTACAGGCGTAGCTTCAAATAAGGATAATTGCTGTCTATTAAAGTCTAATGGCGGCTGTTTGCTGTGCTTAAAGCAGCATTACGGCTAATGGTGAAACGGGATGGGAATGACACGAGAAAGGAATGGGTTGGGTCAACATTCCCAGAATAGAAACAAGGGGGGGGGGGGCAAAGACAGATGGGGAACCGATGGAGCAGCCTGGATGTATGAGTAAAACAAAGGCAGACGGGGAACCGATGGAGCAGCCTGGATGTAGGAATAAAACAAAGGCGGATGGGGGCCCAAGCAAAATGGAAGAAATAAGCACAGCTGATAGACTAGACGTGTAAGGAGACTTACAGACATAGAGAAAAAATGAAATAGAGAAAGAAATAGAGCATAAAAGAGGAAAAAGAGAGGGGGATTATGAAGAACGTGAACAACAAAATAGAAAAAAAACAAACAACGGCCAATAAAAACAAAAACAAAAAAAACAACGTCTATTATCTTTGTCTTACCGCTCATGCCTGAGTCGAAACGAAACTCGTTTGGCAGACTTGAAGGATTGACTGCGACTTCTTGTGCCCCCTTTGGCGTGACCCGATCGACAATGGGGAACCTCCTTACTCCCGTGGACAGGAAAGGCGTCCTGCTGCGTGACCTTTGAGCCATGGCCGCTTTTCCTAAGATGTGTCGCTTTGCAGGGAGCCCCATCTTTCTCAGACAGTGTAGGATCTCGCGTGGGCCCGCCGGAGCCGTGCACCTCTTTGATGGAGCTCAGTTTCGTAAACTCTGTATCGCGAGAAGACCCGTGAACGCCCTCGAGATTACGGGCCACAATCCGACGTTTGATGCTGTGACAGTGCTTCCGGTAGCCTTCCAGATTGCAGACGGCGCCTGCGAACTCCAGGACGTTCTCCAGGGCTTCCCGCTCCGGCCCATCCATCTCGTACTCCTCGTCTTCGATCAACGTGTCAATGGACTGGTCGGCGATGTCGCCGTCGCTGAGGTACATTTTCCCGCGATTGGACTGGTTCGTTGTTATGCAAATGTCACCAAAGTCACTGCAATCGGAGCTTCGGGAGTACCTCAGCCCCCGTTCACGCGGTGCGATTCTCGGCGAATAGTTTTTCGTCAAGCTTTGAGAATCGTCGCTTGTCTCCGAGCACACGCGATCCAGACTGTGCTGCGAGTCCCAGATCACGTCGCCGTAGAGTCTGCTTCCGGTTTCGGGGTCGGGGATGTTCAGCTCGATGTCGTGGACGGAAACGGGTATTTCCGATTCGAGATCACAGTTTTTGAGAAACTCGTCGTGGCAACCTATGATGGAGCCGTGTAACGATGACGCATCGCCCGTCTGCGTGACGTGAGTGTCGTTGCGGCAAGGACACTTTTCGGTGACGGAAGACACCGTCTGCACGTCATTTCTATCCCTGTGGTGAACCGGTGTGCCTTTGTTCGTGGGATTTTTCTGAACCTTGGCTTCGAATTCTTCGATTCTCGAAGCACTCCCGCGCTCAACGTCGGGATCAGGATCCGGGGGGTCAGCCATTTTGGATATGAAGCAACCGCTGTCCTCTTTGACATCCAGACACTGCTGGTCAGAGTTGTCGTCCTCCATGTCCGGACTGAAAGCCCAGCGCCCTCTACGCAGCTTCAATTTGACCAAACGATATTTGATTGACACTTGGTGCCCGGACAGGTAGGCTTAGTCCATTTACAAGTTGAATTCCTAATCCGTATGTGTATCCTTCCTCATCTTAGTGCAACTAGGAAATCACAGTAAATGAATAAATACACACACAACCAACCACTATTACGTTATCCAAGGGAAGGCCGAACAATGTGCCATTTCCCCAGGATAAATCAAACATGTTAAAATTGAAAGGGACCGCACATTGTGAGACTCGACTCGCCAGTTTCAAATACAACGAGCATCGATCAATTGGCACACTGACCTGAATAACGAAATAAACAAATAATGCGTCGTTCACCATTACATCCTCAAGGAGATAACTATTGAAGTCAAGAAAGACGCACATTTAAGCGTTATTAATTACGTTAACAGCAGCACCAAAGGTATCTTTAAATTTTAAATCCACTTTTATAATGTTTAACGTACAATCCTCTTTGAGTCTCTAATACAGTGGTTCTCACCCTTTCTAATGCCGCGACCCTTTAATACAGCTCCTCATGTTGTGGCGACAAACAAAAAAATTCGTTGCTACATCAAAAGTGAAGAGTATATGTGTTTTCCTTGGTCTTAGACGACTCCCGAGAAAGGGTCGTTCGACCCCCCCCCCAAAGGGGTCGCGACCCATAGGTTGAGAACCGCTGCAGTAATAGAATTTTACCGCTTCTCTGTTACATAAATTGCACATCTACACAGTCTTCACAAATCGCTTTGAACACTTGGTTCAAATAATAAAACTATATTTGTTAATGGGAATTAAGTGTGGTACACCGACCTGTGAAGAATCTATATTAAAAAAAATATTTAACAAAATTAATGAGCCAATTCGTTTTGAACGTGGTTCTGAAGAATAAACTGCAACTCACAACCAACGCCATTGTAGATATTTATAGCGGCACAGCTGAAGAACAGTAGTGATGAGATTGTGCTGCTGCACGGCGGATGGACAGTGGTGATGTGATTGTGCTGCTGCACGGCGGATGGACAGTGGTCATGTGATTGTGCTGCTGCACGGCGGATAGATGTGGTCATGTGATTGTGCTGCTGCACGGCGGATGGACAGTGGTCATGTGATTGTGCTGCTGCACGGCGGATGGACAGTGGTCATGTGATTGTGCTGCTGCACGGCGGATGGACAGTGGTCATGTGATTGTGCTGCTGCACGGCGGATGGACAGTGGTGAGGTGATTGTGTTGCTGCACGGCGGATGGACAGTGGTCATGTGATTGTGCTGCTGCACGGCGGATGGACAGTGGTCAGGTGATTGTGCTGCTGCACGGCGGATGGACAGTGGTCATGTGATTGTGCTGCTGCACGGCGGATGGACAGTGGTCATGTGATTGTGCTGCTGCACGGCGGATGGACAGCGGTGATGTGATTGTGCTGATGCACGGCGGATGGACAGTGCTAATGTGATTGTGCTGCTGCACGGCGGATGGACAGTGGAAATGTGATTGTGCTACTGCACAGTGGATGGACAGTGGAAATGCGATTGTGCTGTGACACAAATTAAGGTCAGTAGTAATGTCACTGTGCTGCGACAAATATGAAGGTGAGTAGTTTGTGATTGTATTGCTTGAGACGTAGCGGAGTGACAGTAGACAGGTGATTGTGCTGCGACACAACGGAAGGACAGTGTCAATGTGATTGTGTTGCTTGAGCCTTTACCACTAAGTCAGAGGACAACAATAACATCAACAAAGTATAAAAAAAAATAATAACAAAAAACACGGTCACGTGAAAAGGATCAGCCATTATTGTTTGTGATGCATATTAAGAGAACTGACAGGTCAACACAAGGGCCAATAAACACGATTCAAAATTGCCTCGGTCCTTGCGTATCTCTGAGGTAATCCCATCCCCGTAGCTTGCAAACAAAAATTGCATTACTCATCGTGATTGTCTCAAGTAAAAAAAAAAAGAAGGAAAAACAGGATCAAAAGCAATCATTACTGGACATGATGGTACAATCAAGTAAAAACTATCATTACTGGACATGATGGTACAATCAAGTAAAAACTATCATTACTGGACATGATGGTACAATCAAGTAAAAACTATCATTACTGGACATGATGGTACAATCAAGTAAAACTATCATTACTGGACATGATGGTACAATCAAGTAAAAACTATCATTACTGGTCATGATGGTACAATTAAGCAAAAACTATCATTACTGGACATGATGGTACAATCAAGTAAAAACTATCATTACTGGACATGATGGTACAATCAAGTAAAAACTATCATTACTGGTCATGATGGTACAATCAAGTAAAAACTATCATTACTGGACATGATGGTACAATCAAGTAAAAACTATCATTACTGGTCATGATGGTACAATTAAGCAAAAACTATCATTACTGGACATGATGGTACAATCAAGTAAAACTATCATTACTGGTCATGATGGTACAATCAAGTAAAAACTATCATTACTGGTCATGATGGTACAATCAAGTAAAAACTATCATTACTGGTCATGATGGTACAATCAAGTAAAAACTATCATTACTGGTCATGATGGTACAATCAAGTAAAACTATCATTACTGGACATGATGGTACAATCAAGTAAAAACTATCATTACTGGTCATGATGGTACAATCAAGTAAAAACTATCATTACTGGTCATGATGGTACAATCAAGTAAAACTATCATTACTGGACATGATGGTACAATCAAGTAAAAACTATCATTACTGGTCATGATGGTACAATTAAGCAAAAACTATTATTACTGGCCATGATGGTACAATCAAGTAAAAACTATCATTACTGGTGATGATGGTACAATCAAGTAAAAACTATCATTACTGGTCATGATGGTACAATTAAGCAAAAACTATTATTACTGGCCATGATGGTACAATCAAGTAAAAACTATCATTACTGGTCATGATGGTACAATCAAGTAAAAACTATCATTACTGGTCATGATGGTACAATTAAGCAAAAACTATCATTACTGGACATGATGGTACAATCAAGCAAAAACTATTATTACTGGACATGATGGTACAATCAAGTAAAAACTATTAACTTGGACTGACGGGTGAAAGGAAAGAATTTGATGAAAGACCGGCGTTTTTTATCAGAGTGGTCGCGGCGTATTGTGTAACAGAGTGATCTAGGCGTGTTGTGTAACAGAGTGATCTAGGGGTGTTGTGTAACAGAGTGATCTAGGCGTGTTGTGTAACAGAGTGATCTAGGCGTGTTGTGTAACAGAGTGATCTAGGCGTGTTGTGTAACAGAGTGATCTAGGCGTGTTGAGTAACAGAGTGATCTAGGCGTGATGTGTAACAGAGTGATCTAGGCGTGTTGTGTAACAGAGTGGTCGCGGCGTATTGTGTAACAGAGTGATCTAGGCGTGTTGTGTAACAGAGTGATCTAGGCGTGTTGTGTAACAGAGTGATCTAGGCGTGTTGTGTAACAGAGTGATCTAGGCGTGTTGTGTAACAGAGTGATCTAGGCGT